TGACTCGTGTCTTGCAGTTGCTCTTGGAAACCCGCCTTGAGTAAGACTTGAGTTGGCGTTTCTGTGATGCAACTAAGCTTTTGAAAACACCATCCCTTTCATTTCCTCTGGCTTGAGTAGGTCTCAATTTTTATTACTCATGCCCGCTACTCTCACTTCAACTTACCAAATTTAGCTCAAGCCAGCCCTGAGTTTCCTCAATAACTCGTGGTATTATTTCCTCAAAGAGGCAGTGAGTGCTGCCATCCGTTTGAGGGGACTCAAGAGTGGCGAAAGCAGTTGGGGAGCGCTTTAGAGCGTAATTTACCAGTTATATGACCAAAATCCAGGAATGGATCCACATGGTTTTGCAGGCAGTAGCGAGAGTTTAGGGGGTTTTTTTGTGGGGACATCCCATTGCCCTATCTCTTAAATCAAGAATTCAGAGTAAGAAGTTAGCTGGTGTAATGCTTTTTAAATTAAAAACCATTCCCGTTTTCTTGGCTATGGATCATCTGATTGAAGAGAGTCTACAAAGATGACTTGGGAATAAAATGAGTAACATCTTCAAGCCTTCAGGCATTTTGCTCTATTACCAGCTATCAAGGTCATTTTATAAAATTTGTGAACTAGTTGAAGCTAACTTGTTTGTAGCTCTCCAGTTTTTAATGTAGTGTTTGTGAACGCTCCACAAGAGTAAAATTAGTAGCATAAGATTAAAAAAAACTACAGCAGTAATCGTAAATATGTTAACATCTCTCTGGAATATGCTTAAGCAAGGATGTATACCTGTGAAAATACGGTTTTATAATTTAATCAGAGAAAGGCAGCCAAGCACACTTTATTTATGGTGAGTCTCAGAGTATCTATTTTCAGGCCATTACTTCTTGCCTGGAAAATAGCAGTATGTCAAAATGCTTTCTAAGGTATGTGTTACATCTGCACCTGAGTGATTTTTTTTCTTAGAAATATCATAAATTTTCTTTGTTACCATGTGTTTCAGTGCATACATATAAGTAGTTGTTGCTCTGGGGTCAATATTTCAACATCCATTTATATTGGAAAGGAGAAGAATTCTCTGCCTGTTTAGATAAGGATTTATTACTTCAGTTGGTGTTAATTTAGCAAATGAGTAGAGGGACTTGCCATCTAATAAAATATCTCAAAATATTTATTTAAAAAAAAACAGAAGGGAAAAAAACCCCCACCTTTAGAACAGAACAGATAAGGATGTGTATAGCAGGTACATGCGCTGGGGTTTTGCATGTGAGCATAGCCACATTGCTTGGCAATTACACCACAATTTTCTTTAGAATTTATAATATCAAACTATTGATCAAAATCAGTGGGAGATGTCATATAGTGCCATTCGCTGTAAATGAGATGTGTTGCACTGGGAGTTGTTCTGCTGTTGTTTTAATGCCTCCATGATTCTTGTGATCAGGAGATAGGTGTGACGTTGCCGCTGTAAAATAATGAAAGAGAGAATAATTGCACCTCTGACAGTATTTGGCTAGTAACGGGAACAGGATTGCCTCAGAAAGTTTAGTGGAAGGCAAAAAAACTAAATGTTTCCATAACTAGATAGTTCGTAATCTGCAAAGCTTCGGTCAGTAGTTTGTAGTATTAACCAGCTTCATAAGGTTAGTGTGCAATGCAGCGTATGGTAGCAGAGGAGCACACTTGAGACACCGAGAAATGCAATTGCTGCGTACTTGATTTGACATTGGTGAAGTGGCAGTTAAAAATTTGTTGAAACAGAGCTTTTGTGCACTTCTACCAGAATGTATTTTGCCAGGCATAAGGAAGGTGCACACAGAGTTGGGTTTTGGTTTTCTAAGGTACCAGAGTGCTTTTGAACATTTCTCTGTAATCCATTCTAGCAGAAGTTCAGGACTATTCTGCCAGAGGCTGGACTGTGTCTGGATAACCTCAGCTGACATGTGGGGAATCCTCCAGATCCGAGTAAAATTAGGTTTTGCATTTCATAAAATTTTGGATAAGGACACAAAGCTGGCACAGCTTTTAGGAGGGGAGACTTGAAGCTTTTCCCAAAAGCTTTGGCAGAATTGCTAGGCTGCACTGTTTTTTCCAAACTCATATATCTAGCTTTAGAAAGGAGGCTTTTAGTTAAAGAACCCCTCTGCATCAGTTTGCCTGTGAATAGCTTTAGTAAGACCTGGACCCTTTCGAACAGGAAGAAATCCTGCAGCTGTCATATTTGAGAATGGGGATGTCAATAGCTCTAACAGCTATTTCTTCATAATGTTTACAGCTGCTACTGATGTGTAAATAGTTTGGATGTATTTTCCTGCGCTATTAGGACCAGGTTATTTACCGGTTCCTTCACTGAAAGTAAGTCTTTCTGTGTAGCATTCTGTGCTTTATTCATACAACGTTTCTGTTCCTTTACTGCTTTTAAACCTAGCAGCTTTAGATTGCTGCTTGGCTGGTTTTCTCCTAAACTTAATTGTTTCTGAATTCATCTTAGCTGGACACCATCTGACTTCATGCAGAGAAAGTTAAGCTGATTTAGCAATACCAAAGAATTGTTAGCATTTCCAAAGAGTATTCATTTCCTTGTGCTAGTAATCATCTGATTTTGTTCAGACAGGTGTGTTTCTTTTTGTTTTCTTTACTCAGGGACTCCAGGAATGTTAATGTATTTACTGAATTTTTATCTTCTTGATAATCTAGAAATTCTGTGCGACTGAAGTTGGGCTCTCCAATAAGTGTCCTGAGAGGGGTGCTGCGTGGGGTGGGAGCGGAGGGGTTGTTTTCTGCTTTGCAAGGCTAGGTCAGTTTAGGCCTTAAATCAACCCTGATTTAAGCAGATCCTCTTGCTGATTCTTTTTTTTTTTTCCCCCCTCATCATGGGAAGAACATTCTACTTTACTTAAACCTTTGTCATCTTGTTGGACTAGAGACTAGGAGATTAGGAGTGCAATCAAACCAGGCTTTAAAAACAGAGATGCTGATCTGTTGCATTTCTTGGCTGTTTGGTCAGGCCATCGGTAACTGCTTTGGAAGAAAGGCGGTAAAGGATGCTTCCTTTTCCCTTTTCCCTTTCCCTTATCAGAAAGTAGGTGTCTCTTATAAAAAAGTGTTTTGACTGCCTGCTTCAAAAACTTGGTACGTCATTGATCTGCTTCTTTGGTAGCATGATGGGCCTTTCCTTTTTCCTGCGAAAAACACGATAAAGAAGAATGCATTATCTTTGTAGAAAGTGTTTTTGCAAGGCATTGGCTTTCATACTCGTTCCTCAGTGAAGTGTGCTTCTCTTGGTGTGCAGCTGATAAGGCTGAAGTAAAAATGTAGAAGGCATTTTGCCCAAAGCCACCGTGACACCTCTGTGCAGCCCTCAAGAGCTCCTGGTGATGGCTGAAATTCATCTCTGTGTTTGTTCCACCAGACAAATCTGCTTTCAGCTCTCCTGCACAGCCAAAATCCCGCTAGCGAGCTGCGTCCAAACAGGGTGACAGCTACACTGGGAGATTAAGAACAAATTTTGTCAATACTTCTTCCTTTTTATCTCTATTGTCACCTCCAGTGGCAATCCCACGGAGATTTGGGCAGCTCCTGACTTCATCTTGCAGCTACCTGCTGTGTACTGCTGACTTTGTTTTAAAGGGGGGTGAAACTCAGGAGTTGGGCAGAGTTGTCTGTATAGGATCTCTGTATAGTGCTGATGCTGTGTCAGTGCAGAAAGTGCTCATCAAATGGAGCAGCTTAAGCGATTAGTGTCTCAGGTGTTGGTAGCGATTTAAGCTAAACTGTCTCATTTCTATTGAAGGAGAACAGAGGAGCATTAATAAATTCAAGGAAAGTGTCTCAGCTAGGGGGTTAAGCTTACTAAACTGCATTCGGACTGGTAGAAGTACGGTTTGGAGATTAATGTCATCATGCTTGTGGTTGTAGCAATCATTAAAAGGGGTTTGCTTTGAAAATAGGAAAAAAAAACCCCACCAACTTGTTGAAACTGCAGGCTTTGCCTCAGAAATAAAGAACCCTCTGATGTTTGGAACTGGGAACCAGCTGCTGGAAACCCAGCACTGCTGCCCCTCGGTCAGATTTAGTTTGTCATGCTCATCTTCAAAAATGCTAATGCCATTGGGAGTCAAGATTCATGTAAAGAAAAGAAAGGAAAATATAACACTCTCTCAGTTTGGTTGCTGAAGGTTTTTGATAGAATGCATGCATATTTTACTAACTTGTATAATTTCATGGTGGTTTTCACTTTTTGCCGATCAGTCTCTCACACAACACTAGTAAAATAGCATTTTTAAAAGAATATAACATACCATTATTCCCCTTGTCCCCCAAACAACAAAGAGGGTCAGGTATACTTTGTTTCTGAGGTACTTCAAAGTTTCTCACACCCCTTCAGAGAAGTGCATCAATGTTCATGTTCAGATATGCTTCAAAAAGAAAAAGTCTTTTAAAAGCACGGTTAGCCTGTCCATCTGCTACTACTGCAAGTTAAAATGCTGATAAATGATACTGTTTCTCATTCTGAGAGCTCTTAAGCCTTCAAATTTGATATGTGAAATAAAAATAAAATTCTGATTTTTCAAGCAATATTTTTAATAGTTTTCTTTGTGTTTAAAAGCACTGAATTATCTTCCTTACACAGTGGTCTAAATTGTTAAGTGGATTCAAGGTCTCAAGGCAGTGGTAAAATTCTTAATTTTCAGTCACATTCTATCCCAAACCCACCAGAGTTAACAGATATCTCAGTTGAATTTAGGTGGTTGATGTTAAACCCATAGTATAATCCATTTAAATTTTTTTAAACCCTTTCTTTTGACCATGTAATGTGCAAAATTTTTCATTATATGAGAATTTAAGTACTTTATAACAAAAGCATGAAGTGAGGTAATTACCTATGTTAGTAAGCAGGCATTGCATACTTGAAAAGTAGTAATGCAAGAAATCTGTTGCTGCTGGATGCATTGGCTTTATTTGATAAGAGCACCAACAGTAGTCTTTACAGGAACATGTTCTTTTTTTCTTTTTTATAGGATGCGAGATACTGCAAGAAAAATAGAGGAAAAGTATTTTTCCAATCTTGCAACGCATGTTGAATTTCTTCCAGTTGAATGGAGATCAAAACTTACCCTCGATGGAGGTACATTACTTGGTTCTTTTGCTGTTCCAGTAGCTGCAATCTGCAAAATTGTCCCCAGAAGTTTCATGCCGTGTTCTCTGCACGTGCCTTGTTTGGATTTTATAGGTCTCCTGCATGTAACTCAAGTCTCTCTCTTTTTTTTTTTTCCTTTTTTTCTCCTTCAGACACTGTGGACTCCATTACTCCAGATAAAGTACGAGGTTTAAGGGATATGCTGAACAGCAGCGCGATGGATATCATGTATTATACAAGTCCTCTTTACAGAGATGAAGTAAGTGTTTTTATGTAAGTTTTACTAGGGCAGGGTATAGAGGCTGAAACAAACTGGACTTAGGAATGTAAGCAAAGTTTCCTTCTGAGAGGCCCTGCATGAAGAAAACTTACACTTTGCAAGTATGTAAGGGTTATGCATAGTAATCAAAATACAGAGTTTTAAAGAGTGAGAGGAGTAGAGAAACAGCAAAAATCGGTGTAATTTGTTTAGAGCAGAAATGGCTGTCTAAAATGGGTCTGTGTCAGCAGCTTAGAAATGGGAAGGTTTTTCATGGCGTTTTCATGCATCTGTGTATTCAGAGCAATGGGAGTCCACAGAGCCAAGATTCTTCATACCTCTCGCAAAATCTGTGGCCATTTGTCATTTAATTTGTGTCAGAGGGGATGGCAGCATGTGTAAACATGCCCAAGGCAGTTTTAATGCATTTGTGTACGCTTGCCTTGCAGGAAAAGCAAGACGGCCCTCAGTTACCTGTTTGTTATGGGACTGTTCATACAGTGGGAGCTCCCATCTTACCTTGCCACATCTGTGTAGGCACATGTGTGCTTTAGCCTGTGTAGCTGTAGAGTGACCCCATTAATCAGAGGGGAAGAGCCTTGAGTAAATGATAAAGCAGCCTGTAAAACACGTACAGTATATCACCCCAATAGCACCCCAATAGTATGTGTGTCATACTTCCTGATAACCCCTGTGAGGATGTTTGAGGATTAGTTTCTGTAGGAATTGTAGTTTTTTTCTCTGTTGACTACGTTATATATGGAGTAATGGTAATATTTTTGCAGCCTTGGGGCTCTGTGCATGGTTAGACTGGGGCAGGGAAAGGAGAGACTTTTAAAGTTTACCTGTGGATTTGATGCTACCTTTCATTAAAATGAGATATCTGTAAGTCCTTTAGGCTGGCAATATAATTTTAAACCCTAAACTACTGATAATACTTCTTTTCCTGATAGCAGCAACAGTGGTGAGATCGCTATGAGCCTTTTAAGCTTCCAACAGTAGCAACAGCTGTACCGAAAGCTGTACCTCTCTCGTTGCTCAGTGATGCAAAAGTTCATTGTTCAGGGCTCCTGGGTTCTCCGCTGTGTGTCAGGTTTCTCTGTCTGTTGTGGAACTGAGGCCAGCATGAACTTTTGTGGCAAGCGATGACAACTTCTCTGGCAGCTTTAAAATAGATTTTTTTTAAACTGCATTAGGGGCTTGCCATATCTGTGGGCATCTTATGGGAAATGGGTTAGTGAGTGAAGTTCAGGTATGCTGGCCAACAATGCATGAAAAATTTAATTCATTGCTCAGTAGAACTGTAGTTTTGCAGGTATTTCACCATCCCTGAAGTACAAGAATTGACAGTAAAATGAGTGTGCTGTGGCTGTGCTTAGATCTGATTACAAAAGACTAAGTTGTTTTCGTTACTGAATCAAGTGAATTCTCTTGAAATATTTGCAACAAGTTGATCATTACCTTACCACATTCAGACTGCATTGATAAATCTTATAACTTTCTCAAAGCAAAGTTGTACAATTTGAATTGCAAGTATTTGTCCAAAAAAGAAAGTGCTATTACAAATGAAATATTAAAACCTTGAAGAACAGGTTTCTGAAATGTGTCTTTGGTGTTGCAGTGAAAATGTTTGGGATGCAGGTTTTCTTATTGTTCATTCAGCTACAGAATTCGTGTTCTGCCAGTGAGTTGTCAGGGATGTGACTGCTTGTTTGATTCTTCTCATTTGGTTAGGAGTTGTGTAAAGCCCATAGTCATTAAATGGGTTTTGTATATTTTTTTCACCTTCTCTTTTGCCTTTACCTACAGAAAGGAGACTTGTTTTGGTTAGGGGTTGGTCTGGGGGTTTTTGATTACTCTTCCTCATCCCATTTTATTTTCTGTGACCTAACTTTGCAGAGTTTAAACACAATAGTATCACATTGAGCATTCTTCTGGAAAAAACAGGTGTTTTCCCATGTTCAGTGTGGAGCCGTTTTGTGGCACTTTGCTCCGAGTGCTCATTCCAGCTCAGAAATGAGCCTTGTCTTCAAGTATTCACGTGGTCACACGTCGCTCAGAATTAGTATTCTTGCTCACCACTTCATCACACCGACCCAATTCTTTGTATACTGCGGGCACTTCTAATGCTTTCCATCCAGAAATCCTAGAAGTATCTCAAAAGGAGCTAATCAAACTTCGCTGTGCCCCTGTGAAATAAATTGAGCGGTGCAGCAAGTTCAGCCTAGAGAAGAGTAAAGCCGCTATTCACCTGACAATACTTAACAATACTTTGATAGGAATTTTCTCTCTACTTCCAAGGATTTTCCCCACATCTAGAAGTAACATAACTGCTTCTTTAAAGCTTTTGACCACTCTTTAAATGGCTCACTAAGGGTTTTGCAAGCGGGTAGCCACTATCTTCTTTCAGGGGGTAAGAAGCCTTGTACCAGCTTTCACATGAGATAGCAGAGAGCCGTTTCAGATGCAGCTGGATTGCTCTGCTAAGCGTTACAGGAGCGTGGTGGATAACCCCCTCTCTGATTTCAAGTCTTGTTTCTTCTGTAGTGTGGCAGGAGAATATCCAAAAGGTGCCTCTGACTTCTGACATGTAATGTGATACCAGACGAGTATTAAAAATTCAGTACAGCCCTATGAATGTCTCAGACAGTCTGGTCTCAGAGTTCACTCTGGAGGATGTCTGCAGCCAAGAGATTCAGCTGTGGCTTTTGTGTGTGGCTGCAAGGGAATTTTGCTCTGCAGGTCCTCATCTATACAGTGGTCCACAATGAGTAAAACAGAATCCACCTTTAAACATTACACGGATAATAAGGGAAAGCAATAAATTGATATTTTGATCTACACATGCCTATTTCTTAAATGAACAATCATTTCACATTTTAATTCTGACCTTGCTAGTGCCATCTGTGGTAATGTAATCTGGGGGTTTAGTGTCTTGAGTGGGTGACTTTGTTTCGTATCTGTATCATTGTAGCTTCATATTTCTTTAATAATAAATGGCTGTAACAGAGATTAAAAAGACTAATTGATGCATAGTAAATTTAGTGTTGTCACCTTCATCATATTGTTAAGTGCTTATTTTACTGATCTTTACTGTACTTACTTCCAGGCTAATTGTAATTCTATAAATTATTAATATATATCTTGACAGAAAATGCCTTTAGTACAGGATAAATATTATTTACATCCATCATCCCAAGATCTCTAAAGATGTAGTGCACATATTGCAGTAGCCTCGGAAGATTAGGAGGAGATGTTTATGGATTACTTCCCCCACAGCTGAAGAGCAGGGGAACACGGTGGGTATTGAGCATTTCCCACCAGCTGGGGAGAGGGAACGAAGAAGCTGGGGGCTGGGACGTGGTGGCTGTGGGCTTGGTGTTGAAGGTACATGACAGGCTTTAGGAGGCCAGGGGGAATGCAGCGTGACGCAACCAACCTAGCATTGCTCCCTTGGGCAGACATCGCTGTCCACCTTGAAACGGCTTGATGGTTTGCTGTTATACATATATTAAAACGCAGAATTAATGACTATACCCTTGAAATTTGGGACAAGTATTAACTTTTACTAGAGCTTTCATCCCTCTTTGATACGAGGTTTTGCAATGGAAATGTCCTTCTCTTATGCACTCATTTCAGGAATAGAAAGCAATTTTTTTAAGTGTGTTTGAAAACGAGAGGGATATGAAGCAGGAAATTTTTAACTGAGACTATTTCAACACTGGTTTTGCTTGTTCTGTTGAACCTAATAGTCAAGGAGCTGCTTGGCAGCACTTTCATGGCTTGCTTAATTCATTTGATTGTCCTTGAATTCTCAACTTTCGAAAGTGATAGAATACTGGATTTGCCTGAAACTAAACCTGACCGTGGTGATTTGGTTCAAAATGGGTTAGAGTCAGCTTTTCAACAGCAAGAGGGGTACTGAGAGAGAGACTCGGGTCTGGGCAGATCCTCAGATCCTTCTTCTGTAACATCACTAAGACATGCAGCCATTCCTGTCTGTTCACACAGCTAAGTCTCATTCTGGCCTCTCATCTGTTGTTGTGACAGTCTCCTGGCATCTGTGAGTGATGCCATCAGGGAGCGTGACAACTGTTGTATTCTGGAGGGTCAACAGTCTCACCATCCCTGCATTGTGTGCTGGCATGTTCTTCTGGCTCACGTGAAGCAAACACTCCTTGTCTTTGCTTTCATGGTCCTTCACAATCCATCCCTGAGCTGCAGCTCTTCATTGGCTTTTAAGGACCTTCTTCTCCCTCCAGTTGGCTCACGTTCTTATTGCCTGCTTGCTGAATTTCAAATGCGTTTGCACTTCCTCCTGAAGTTCTCTTGACATTTGGAGGGAGCTGCTTGCAAAGCTTACTGTTCCTCAGATCTCCTTAAAATTCCTTTCCCACGAAGCCTACAAAACCAGTCATGCTATTCAAGCTGGAGGGGTGCAGAGGTCAGGTTTCCTGCACTCCCTTTTCATATGTAGCTGTCTGTTATTTTTTTTTCCTCTTGGGCTTCAAGCTGTTCATGTGAGAAGATTGTCCAGTGGGTGAGGGTCCTGTGGAGATGGCAGAAGAGAAAGGACCTTGGAAAGTTACGTCAAGGGAGTGGTCAGAGCTGAGAGCAGTCTCAGAAGAGGACAATCACCATAGCCTGAGAGGAGAGCAAGTGTTTTTGTTGGCTTTGACAGATCAAAGAGGTTGGGACTGGAGGGCTATATCCAAGTTTTGGCAGTAAGTGGGTCACTGAGGATTTGAGCAAGAGCACTGCATGCTCTGTGTTACTTCTGTGCTCAGGGTGTCAGCAAGGGTTTTGTACTCCTTGTTTTCTCGAAAAAAAACCCCAATTTCCTGGATATTGAGGGGAAAATGTAATTTTTTACCCTGGAACTTTCAGCGTGCACCAAAAAGCCCCTTCAACCCCATCGATCTGCCCGCTAGAATGGGCAGGGGGTGAAGTTCTTCCTCCTGCCTGGATCTCCTTGATGTGGGTCCGGGAAGTGTTTGTCC